TCCTGATTCGAAACGCAGATTAAAAAATTCTAACTTCGTAATTCGGAGCACGGCCATAAGTGGTCTTGGCCTTAACACCGGATATTAATTTTATTTCTTCCTCGCATCGAGCTGGAGAATCGATCAGAGTCATTTCTCGCTCGCGACGCGGAACTATAGCCGACTGCGCATTTTATGTAATTACAGGGAGTGCGAGTGGTATGGCTTCGATGCGCGATAAATCTCGACGTTGGCGCGGAAATTGTTAGATAACAAACCGTTAAACAAAACGACGGCGGACGCCGGATAAATGCAAATTCAGTTTATCTGTAAACGGCTACTCGCTTCATTTCTCTTCGCTTTTTTTCGCCCGCGTCCCCTTTGAATAACAATTTCACCATCGCCCGGCGATAAATCAGTGCGGGAAGTGCGTCTCCTTTCGGCCAATATTTGCCGAAAAACGGCGGCAACTAATTTCTCCCTCCACATTTCCATCTTTAATCCCGTTTCCCAGTTGCGAGATCGCAACATCGCCTGTTCTCAACCGCGGCGGAATCAATATACGGCGGACATCCGCGTGATAAACATTTCCCCGTGAAGGTATCCCCGGCCCGCTTTATACCAAAATGCGCGCGGCAAATAAAAACGAACGTCGAACAATTTCGCCGCTTTTAAAACGGTTTCACATTTTTTTCCCTCTTTTTCCCATCGGTACGTTCTTCGCCATGGATAAGCTTTACATCCCCGCTTCCCCCGTATCGCGCGAAATTACGACGGCATTTTTACGCGTAAAAATTCGGAACAATAGATTTTTACGGTGTAATCGGAATTGCGGGAGAGGGAGAAAGGCAAAGGATAAAGATGGAACGGGGGAGGAGAGGGGGGGGCAGACGTTAACGCGAACGATCGCTTTCGCGATAAAAGCGCCGTGTTTGCCCGATTTATCACAAACTATTTGCATTCGTCTCGTTTTATTAGCAATAAAAGCAGCTCGGGGACGAGGGGAGAGGAACTTTAACGGGCCAATTAACGCGACTGCCGGCGATCAGCCGCGAGAAATAAGGATGCGTCGCCGTCTATCACCGCCACGCGAACCACGTTTCATCGGTGCGACGACAAATAATCGACGTGCACATCCGACGAAGTTCCTGACCATCTTAATCTTCTAGTATAATATAATATAATAGTCGTAGCATAGTATAATATAGTCAGTATCGCAACGAATATTATGATACTACTATACTACACTATACTGTACTATACTTACAACTAGTATTGCAACATTCGCAAAAGAATCTACAGTCAGTCAAATATTGCAATACTTGCTATAAGCATAGTATAATACAGTCAGTATAATATAGTATTGTTATACAGCAAATATTATAATACTACTATACTACTATACTACTGTACTATACTTACAACCAGTGTTGCAACATTCATAAAAGAATCCACAGTCAGTCAAATGTTGCAATACTTGCTATAAA